TGTAGTCTGCCTAAATTAAACGGAAAAAATATTAGTTATTCTGTTTTAATTGTAAATGCAGTGTGAATTCAGTACCGTTCTGCAAGAGGAAAAAGTATTCAAGGCCTTTTGTGAGGAGCACCGAATAATGGAAGTTTGCCAAAACTATTGTGAAAAGTGCAAGAAAAGAACTGAAGAAAGTTCAAAGGTTTGATGATATTTCTCAAAACTAACGGGAGATGGATGGATGAAAGAATATATAGCAATTTACAAATAAATGCAAATAAGCATTTTGGATCATTTCCCATACATGATTTATTTTTTGATCTTTGTTTTTCATTCATCAAATGAAGGGTATGGAAGAGCAGACAAGAGAGTTCAATGAAGAAGTCAACAAGCTTGGTGAAGTTATTTTGGTTTGATTATCTATGCCTTACTTCCTTCTAACCATAGCCATGCATGCATCTTTTCTTTTTAGGTTTTGACATACATTTATTAGTGCATCACAGCCCTACCACAAATGTGCACTGGTTTCATGTTCTATTGCCCTTTAATTATCTGAATCTTTTCAACTCTCTCTCTCTCTCTCTCTCTCTTAATTCCAGGATTGTGGAACAAACCTATTTTCGGAGGAGGTAGGCGATATTTTGCTGCATTATATGTTTAAAAATGTCGACATCCTAATTATGAAGTTACTGTTTTAACTTTTTCTTATCTTGCAGGGACTTCAACTGCTTATACAATATTATTCCGAGGTATGGAAATTTTGCTGCCTTTTTCTTTTAATCTTTTAACTAAAGTGCTTCGGGTTGATCAGTTTGATTAATTGATACCCACTAACATAAAAAACTTGATTTGGGGTTACTGTGAGGCATCCAGAGTCTTATACCAAGTAGCTACTAACTCAATATACTAAAAAAATGTACAGTGTCTTTTAAAAATGTTGCTATTCTAATTATGTCATTACTGTTTTAACTTTTTCCTTAACTTACAGGACCAGGCAGCAGCTGTTGAGGAGGTACAGATACTTTGTTGCATTACCTTTTAAAATTTCCTAACTCTGAAAAAATTAAGAATCCAGAATCCCAATTCTAGGCAATTTCAATAAATAGTTAATGTAAAGAGTGACTATCATAGTTTTGAGTTTTTGGATTCTAATTTTTTGAGTGTTAGGATGTATTCACTTATCCTCTACAGCTTGTTTGGTTTGAGGGGAGGGGAGGGGAGGGAAAGGGAGTTCCCTCTGTTTCTCTCAAACCAAACAGGGTAGTATTATGGACTTACTGTTTTAACATGTTTCTTAACTTGCAGAACCATGAAATGTTGGAAGGAAACTTAAAGGGTATAGATAATTTGCTGCATTATGTTTTATTTTTTACATTCTAATTACGGAATATTGTTTGAACTTTTTCTTTAACTTGCAGCTGGACCCTCAAATGTTGACTCAAATTCTGGTGCCTAGCACTACTTTGATAACTGGTGGTGTTGCCAATTCTAGTAGTGCTGGAGGTCATGGTGGTGAGTTAATTATTTGACTGGGCCTGGGCCAGGGCTGGGTAGCTGCCTTAATCGTTGCTGTACATTAGGCTAACTCTCTTGTTTTGAATTTGACCGGAATAGGGCCAAAGTTAGGCACCCCATTTGAGCGAGCATGGGAATTAAAGAGGAAGAGAGAGGAAGAACTGGATGAAGCTCGTAGGGGCAAAAGGCCTGGAACTACTGACAATTACACTCCACCTTGTCCTCCAATTTATGGTTCTCAACCTAGTGGGTTTATGGCTGACGCTCACTGACAGACTTCCCCTCAGTCAGCTGCTGCACATCTTTTCTCTACCTCAGCATGCACATCTCAGTGGGAGGAGAGGTTAAGGAAGTTAACTGGTGAGCCTGCATCAGGGGGTAACAATGGAGCCCATGCAATTATGGACGATTTTGTGAAGCTGGTCAGCAAACTATAATTAAGGCCTTTTTCTTCTTCAAAAAGTTCAAATTATTATTAATTTTTTTGAGTCAAAATTGCTTCCTCAATTAATCTCTATTATCTCCAAACCCTTTTTTTTTTTTTAAACAATGATTTTCTTCTCTTTCTTTTCCAAATTCTGGGGTCCTCTATCTCTCATGCAATTTATCTGGTGAAGCAATATGAGAAGCTTCAAGTCAAAGATGCTGAAAGAAGAAAGCCGGAACAAGAAATTTTAGCAGCTGCTTCTATTGATGCCAACCCTAAATTCAAGGAAAAGAAGAAAGAAGCAGATGACCTGAAAAAACAAGTAGAGGAGCTGCAGGAGGAGGTTATCAAACTTCAGGCTGAACTGGCAAAGAGGGATGAGATTATTTCCAAGGATGTATTTAAGCAGAACCTAGCTGCTGTATCCCTTGGCTGGAATTTAATGAAGAAGTTGCTGGAGTCCATGGATGCTGGTACTGAGTTTCTTAACCTGTCTCTCTTGGACACCATCAAGCACTGTTCTCCTCTTCTTCACCAGTTCAACGAGGGTCTGACTTCAATAGGTCAGGGACATACTGATATTGATGACACATTTTGCATCCTATTCAATCTACCAGTGGTTGTGCCGGGCCCCTTTGTTTCAGATCATTTCACCCAAACTGTCAATATGGGAGGTGAGCTCATCAGCTTTGGCCCTCCAGGAGATCCTAATGTTGTCAGCTTAGCTGCCAATAGTCCTCCACTTCAGACGGCAAATACCGGAACTAAAAATGTGGACCAGGAGGACAGAGCAGATGAGTGCAATGATTGAGCAAAAAACACTGCCAAAGTACAAAGATCTAGGGTGCCCAACAATTGCTCGCCAAATTGGGTCACAAGAATTTGGTCAAGCTCTTTTGGATTCAGGAGCAAGTGTGAATTTAATGCCTTATTTGGTTTATTTTGTAGCTAGGTCTTCGAGAGATAAAACCCACATTTGTGGTGTTACAGCTAGCTGACTTTTCTTGTAGGAAACCGAGGGGGAATAGTAGATGTGTAGCTTCAGATTGATAAATTCTATTATCCGGTTGATTTTCTTCTTTTATACACTCAATCAAAAGTTAATAGTAAGTCAATGATTCCACTTACTTTAGGAAAGACCATTTCTTGCTACTACTAATGCTCTTATCAATTGTAGGAGTGGTTTGATGAAACTTTCATTTGGAAATATGACTCTTGAGGTGAATATTTTTCATGTTGGGAAGCAATCACAAAAAGATGATGAGTGTTATCAAACCTACATATAGATCAACTTGTCAAGGAAGTATATGAAAGGGAAAATTCTGAATCTTTAAAATACTTCCTTGGTGACTCTAATTTAGATTCTACATCTTGTTTTATTCTGTTAATGATCTTTCTAACATTTCTTCTGTTTCTATTGATATGCAGGACAAGCAAGAGAAGTTTGCTTTGAGGAGTTGCCACGTAAAAGAAAACATTTGAAGCCATCTTCATTGGAAGGACTAAGTGTAGAGTTATCCCCACCTTCTAAAGGATTGAAGCATGCACTCTAGGGAGTGTCTCCTACGTTATTGGACAAGGGTTGAAGCATTGGGTGGAGCGGGTAGACCAACCTGAGGAGATTACTCTCATGGCTTCGGTCCACAACACTTAATCAAGTTCTATCCTTTGCCATATTATTTCTTTTATTCTATACTAGTGAGGACAGTGTCTCGTTTAGGTTGAGGGTGGTAGCATTGCATGCACATTTTATGCACACTTCTTATATACATTCTCTTCATGTATAATAATAATAATAATAATAATAATAATAATAATAAAAACCAACACTTTACCTAATCCTTTTGCTTTGGTAATTCTTGTGTCAATTAATGGGTTTGCAAAGTATGATTATTTTTGTTTTTCTATTTGGGAATCATTTCAAAATTGCTTGGTTTGAATCACTTTTTTTATCTTGATTATTAAAGAGTAACTTCTGAAAACTTTTTGTGCACAGTACTAAACTTTATGATTAGATAGATGTTCAATATGTATAGCCAAGAGGATTATCAGGTTTAAGTGCATTTTTTTGTTTTTATACTCACACATGCTTTGTGAATGAATGTTGAGTTGGGAAAATAACTTACGAACCTTCATTGATTGATTGAATTGGTTAGTTGCTATTTA